CCTCGCATGACACATAGTTTTCAGGGGGGTACGATCTGCGCAGTCATTGACTGAAACACTGACCTCTTACCCTTCTTGCTTTTCATCTTCTTACTTTGATGAAAGAAGTCGAATACGGTGAATAATTTCCCCCGCGTCTTTTCATTTTATTATTATTTTTTTTTTCTCTTCTACCAACCCCTCTGTGTCTACAGTATTCGCTTCTTTTTTACTTTTTTGCTGTGCCTGCCTCTCTGTCTCTGTGATGGACTTTTGTTGCCGAGAGTGGGTGAAGGAAAAAAAAACGGGAGGGGGGAGGAGGTTAAAGGCCTGCAGCGTGTGGAAGAAGCTTTGTGCGCCAGTGCCAAAGGATTGAGTGCTCGGTGCGGTTTGCAACCCCCCCCCTCCCTACTTTTTTTCTTGTTTTTCTCGACTTTGCTTCCAGCGACGTTTTTAGCGAACCTTGTTATTTTCCTTCGCGGTGATTTCCATTCGATGTTTGTACATTTTTTTTTTTCTCTTTTGTCCCCTTACTCATAACGCGGGCCAATTGTCGTCCGGGATATACACAGAATTTATTGATTCGCGAAAGTCGTCAACACTCACAAAAATACGAGGCATCGCAAAAATGTTCAATTGACGTGCCAAGCGTGCTCCAGAGTTCCGTCGTCGAGAGAATCAGAATTCCGTGGTACCCTCGCCCTCTCCCCTTCCCTTTGTCGCTCTTTTCCCGCGCGCCGAGGCGAACACCCGAGCAATTAGTTCAAAAAGGGGTTTATTCGCTTCGTGCAGAAATTTGAAACAACGCCACCTGCAGGGAAAAAGCTGTCGATGCTAACTTACAAGAATACACAGAATCTTATGGACAATGATATGTTACAAGCGTTTATTTTAACAGCAATATATATTTAACAACTGATGTAATTTTTTAGGCTGTTGAGTACATATTTAAGTCGAAAAATACCTATTTTATAGTACCTTGATAAAAAAATTTTTTTATCTCATGGTTGTATTTTTTCAGTAAGTATTGCGATTTTTCTCGAATATCAATTTATTTCGTTAAGTACTTTTAACACATTAACATTACTTCAGCACATTAAAAAGTAATATTCATTATGCTCACTCATAGTTACGTTATATTCATTTTATACTAGAAATTTATTTTGTTTTATGAAATTAAAAAAGAAAGGATTGTTTGCTATTAACATGCTACTTGGGACTGAAAAAACTTATTTTAGTTGTTAAATATTTATTATTGTTAAAATAAACACTTGTAATCTACCATTGTCAATCAGATGCTGTGTATTCTTGTTATTTAGCATTCACATCTTTTCCCCTGTAGGTGGTATTGTTTTAAATTGCCGCACGAAGCGAATACGTGACTCCAAGGATAACGTGTGGTTTTAAATAAAATAAAAATTGTCTTAATAAAAAGCATATTGATTAAAAAAAATTTTTTTTTAAAGTAATAATTGTTAACGTGCTTAAATCAATGAAACATTCGTGTGTATATATCTATTTAGTGGGCGTGGGCAGAGAAGAGGTTATGCTTGATGAAACCGAATGCTCACTTTTTTTTTACCAACTGTAAATTTAGCTGTAGCAGTGGTGTGAAGAGACGTGTACATTTTTGGCGTTAAATTTTATATATAAATTTGGATGCAAGAGAACAATAATATACTGATATTGTACATGATACTATTCAAAATAATTATCTGAAAAAAAGGTACTTATGAAAAAAACATTTGTAACAGAAACAAATTTTGTTATAAATTATGTTATCTTATTCGATGAGATACAATGTTGACACATCATTCGAAACTGAAGATTTCAAATTTGTCCCCTTGGTTTTCGGCAACGATGTTTCGTTTCTATTAAAAATTGTTTTATGACTTCCGATATTAAAATTACATAAGTCCACTAAAACCATATTAAACAACGATAGTTTGCTCGGCTCCCCTTTGATCAAAGGCATACCGACTCTGCTCTTTTTAAAAATTTTCTCAAGTATCGACCATACTCTTGACCATATTTTTCTCCAAAAGTCTCCCAAACTTCATTGACTTCTTCAAAGCCTTTTATTTCCTCAGCACTCAAATAACATTGGCCCCTTACAAAAGAGACAATTTTCAAGTCTCACTCTCTTTTCTCTCAAGCTTAGTTGAAACTAGTTGAAAATTTGACCATAAAATTAAAGATAATGCCACATATGAAAGATACTAAAATGTATTAACTGAAGGCTCTCTGTGTAGTTTGTGCAGGACACGCTGCCATCTACGGGAGTCGGCTATACCACGGTGAGCAGTGAAAGCAAGCAACGCTCGCTTTTCACACATTATACCAGTCGTCAGCGACATTGAAACCGGTGAGTAATACACCTATTCTATACGCATGCATGTGTATTTATAAAGCATTTTTCTCGCCGTGGGTGTCTTGGCTTTGTTTTCCCGCGTGTACATAGAGGTTTTGTTATCTCGTTTACCTCGTACAAGAAGACATCTGAGCTCGGGGCAAGGTTAAGGATAATATATTACACCGGGATTGTGAGGATAGCCTCTGTAAGAGCGTGAATGAATATGTGCCAGTTACTTCGTTGAAAATTGCACAAATGGTTCATGTGTGCACGTAAACTCACCATCATTTGTTTACTTTTCATTTAAACTTATTATTACTGTGGAAGAATAAATTTTGCATAATCAATACCAAGACTACTGATACTTCGAGATCAAAGCACGTGTGTGCACAATTCCTACTCCATTAATTTATCCACGACTTATTTAAACACCACGGTGCAAACACTAAAGAGTCACATTGTTATTATTATTATTATTATTATTATTATTTTAAGTTATCGTATTTTCAGGTACGGTTGTGTAAAAAAGTATGAAATATATTTCTGAGGGGGAGGAAACATTTTTCAAAAATTTCTACCTTATAGATTGAAAAAAGAAAAAAAAAGTTTGAAATAAATGCATTTTGTTTAACTTAAGAAGTACAAACTCTACTAATAAATGCGGACGTTCTATATGTTTACAGCTTGTATTACAGACCCATATCTTTAGATTTTCAATCTCGTTTATTTCTGTCCCTCTTATTTTGTTACGTCGTTCACTCGCGTTCACTTATGTCGATCGATTATGTAAACTCAACATTATGTACCTGTATGTATGTGATTGACCTACATGTTGGCAAACAACTACCTCAAACAAATCATTGTTTTGAATTGAGGAATTTTTTAAAAACAAATTCTATCTAAATTTGATCTTACAAAAGAGAAGGTGAGGCTTTCTGTTTTCAAATTCGTACGATGCACACGATGCTTATTAAAAAAAGGGCTCTTGTTCGATCATCTTCGGATCACAAAATGCATCTTAGTGCTCGATATTTCAGGTCACGCGTTTGTCGTAATCGACTCGGCGAAAACGAGTTTTCTGGCTCGCTTTACTTTCCTGCTTCGCAATCGCATCATATTCTCTAGAGCAGACAGCCACGCGAGATGAAAAACTCGGACGGAGGTACGTGCTGCTCGACGGCCTACTTCTTTCGTAATTCATTCCATTGTAATTTGCCGCGGAGCGCAAACGCGCGTACCAAGTTAGGGAAAGAAAAGAGGAGAAGAAAAAAAAAAGAAAAACAATTATTGCACCATCGGCAGCGACATTCTCGCAAAGAGCCCCATCAAAGTTATCGAATCGATTTCCCTCCTTTCCTTCTCTTTTCGCTGAGAGCATCAAACTTGAGCAATATTCCTTGACGCAGTATTTGACCAATCCTTAAAAAATTTCCAAACTTTAATAAAGACTTCCAAAGACGATCCCTTCTTCACAAAGATATGCACACAAATATGTATATACGTTTTAGAGGACGAGCAAAGCCGTACCAGAAAATGATGGATAGACAGCGGTGGTAAAAAAAGTAGAAAAGACCGCATGAGTATGAGGTACATAAAGCCGATGGCCTAGATGCAGTAGTAGGACATTAGCCCCAGCCGCGAGCAGTCCGTACATAGCAGAGGTGTAGGTACAGCGATACCAGCTCAAGAGAAAAAGTAGGATGATCCGCCGCGTCCTAAGCACGCCGTGCGCGCACTCTTCTCACGATTCTTCATCCTCCCCTTCGCCTATCGTCATGCCTCTCTGCTTATACTATTTTTTTTCTCTCCACTCTCCTGTAGATCTCTTCCTCTTTTGTTTTTTGCTTTTTTCCAAACACACTCTCGTCAACCTTGCTAGTTTTACTTATTTTGCATCTCAGGTATTTTGGATTCTTTGCTGCTGTGTGGGTTTGTTCTTACTTTTTATTTTATTTAATTTAATTTATTTTTTTCTCGTCAATACCCACTTTTCAATACAATGTTTTATTATCTGTCACAAAAATCCAAGGGTTTCTTTCTGCTGACTCCTGCTTCTAGATCCCGTATCCAGATTCTATTTGGTCCGTCGTCAAACAATCTGAATCCTCATCAACGAAATCAATTGAAAATCAAGAAATCTTAATATTATTACGAATGAACACCTCCACGTGCTCATATTGCCATTTTATAAAATTTATGTGAAACAACTTTCCATTCGTAAATTAATTGTTCCAAATTCGTCATCTCAAACAATTGTAAATGTGTGTGTGTGTGTATCCCGAGTGTATCTCGGTGTATCCAGCAAAGTCGTTACGTTCATGCATGTGTATATATATGTATTCACATTTTCAAGGCTGCACATCCTCCCGTCCCCCTGATCCTCCGATCTCGCGATTCTCTCCCCTTCTACCATTCGCGTGCATGATATACCAGCGAACAGGAGCAGAGAGACAAGAGGAGAACGTAGCCGCTTGGCCTCGTGGCGTCCAGTTTCTCTATTCGTGGCGAAAAAAGTCAATCAAAAGCAAAAGCTCACCCCTCCTGGGTATATTTCGAGCGCTCGGCCGTTCAAAACTATTTAAATTTCCAGCAGCTGCAGCACGGCGACTTCGCCCTTCTCTCCTTCGTCTTCTCTTCCTCCAGCCTCCCGCGCTCCCTACTCCGCAACTATACGCACCAGCAGCAGCCGTGGATGCAGGCATCAGGCGGGGGACCTGGAATGCAACGACCTCTCTTCCCTCCCTCGGTCCGCGCGCGCACAAGAAAGGAAAACCGCGAGCGGAGGAGAGAAGAGTCTACCGTCGCTGTGCATCGAGGCTCTCTTCGCTACACTAGCTGAAAAATAGAGAGAAAGAGGATGGAGCTCTCTCCCGCGCAGCAGCGAAGCCGCAGTCGGTGCAGCAACGTTGCGACGAGCTGAGCGTCATTCCTTCGTGCTGTTGCTTTCCACTGTATCATTTGTTGTCATTTCTTTTTTTTTCTTTTTTTTTTTTTTTTGTTGCACCGTGTTGTCGTGTCCCGCGTCTGCAGCTGAAAATGGGTTCGTTGCCAAGATTTTAACATTTTTTTTGGCTCGCGCTCTTGTTGTGTACTTGGGTGTGTGTGATATATATGATTTCTTTGTTTACCGCGAGTGCCAGAGTCTGGTTCGGTAACCGGTGAGTGACTTACGATTGCTTTTCAGCTCCCTTTTTGTGTTGGGCTGAAATGCACCTGTTCCTTCCATCGGACCAAAGAGGTTTTGTGTCCACACAAAGTGGAGGATGTGATGAATTATTTTTATTTTTCGTTATTTCTAAACAATTTCAACATAATATAATGCCGATGACAAATTTTTGTCCACTTGACAAGATAGGGGACAGTCGATTTGGTGGATCTCAATTGTACAATAGGGATATGCAAAATTGTCCTTGTATTATTTGGGGTTTGTCTATTAAAGGCCTTTGTGGTGTGATTTACTGTTTAGTACAAAAAAGTTGGTGCAGATTTGTTTTCATCAAAAAATGAAAACTTCAATACAAAGTATAGTGTATATGAAAAGTTGAGAATTGCCATGATTTTAAACACAATTGGTGACTTTTCCTTCTACTAAATAAGATTTCAAATTTTCTATCAAGGAAACGAAGATTTAATCCAACTCATTAAAAAAAAAAAGTAGGAAAATCCATCACACAATTTAAATTTCAGTGCAAAGGCATCGACTTGGAAAAATACCTGCGCAGTTTGATTGCTCCATTCGAAAAGGGATGAAAAGGACTACCTTTTCGCCGGAATTAATAAAACCAGTGACTCGGCCAACATCAAACGTGCCCTTTTCTTCCATACGCGAGATTCGCCTCCTTTTTCTTTTAATCAAACTTCATAGTCTGTACATTCTGTTCTCCACCCATACATGTATGCACAAGCCTTGTTTTACTTTTTATTCTTTCCTTCTCCCGCCCTCCCCTTTTCTCGAATGAACAACTCGAGTCGGAGGTAAGCGCTAGAGCGTTGACTTATTAAAGAGACGTGCTCGCGACAAAGTGCGACTTTTCGTACCAGCGTACATACGCGCAAAAGGCTGTCGTTTTTTTTTATACTCGAAATTCAATTAAATTCGTCTATAACTGTTGCTTTGTAATAAAGTTGTAGATAGCGGAAACAATGCTGATTTTGATGGTGGAAGCTTACCACGCACCGCACGTGTAAAATTAACCGCGAGTCTCGTTGTGGTTTCATAACGCTCCAAAAGTACTTTGTAACATTTATTGTTGAAAAATCACGTCCCACCAAATCAACACGCACAGTGAGGACTTTCAATTTTGGCGTGTATACCTTGTAACGGGACGTGTTCTGCATGATTCCATTTGCATTGCCCACAAACTATGTAATCGAGAGTTCTGTTTCAAAGGCCACCGGGTCATTTTCTTTTGCACTTGACGTTCGAACGAGGATACGAGCAAACATTTGGCCAAAGTTGCTCGAGGGAACAGCTACAACTCCCCATCCTTGGTGCGGCAATACACGACCGTCGAAAAGTATGGTTTTCCAAAACATCGGCTGTTGGGATTGAAAATTTCTCTCGACCTGAACTTCGATGAAACCACAACCCCACATCCGACCGACCAAAGCCATGTCCAGCATAATGAGCAGCCTTCCATTTTCACGAGTCGACAAATCACGTTCTGCCACGACTATTGCCACACGAAAGCCTACGCTTTGAAATGTTTTCCCAGAGATTGTGCACACCAGGTGTGTTTGTTTACTTTGTTGAATTGGTTTCCCTTCATGTCGAGCACGACTTTTGGATGCATCCATTGCTGTACTCGTTCTTTCTTTTTACTACGATTAGATTACGCGGAAGTACTGAAATTAGCACCACTGGCCACGGAACTTTTTCATTACCATCCAAACTCATAAGTACGTTCGCTTGGAGGAAGGAAACGAAAAACGCTCCAAGTAATGACGTACCTTGCGAGTGAAATGAAAATTCGCGCGAGAACGAGAGCAAGTCATTAAAAGGCCACACTAGAGAGAGAGAGAGAGAGAGAAACCTGGTTTCCCCCATTACACGCGTGAATATGAAGTCCTGTAGTGCCGAGTCGGCGTCAATATATAAGGGAAAAGGGTGGGGGTGTTTCCGTCAAACTCCACTCGTTACTTGCATCGGCCAAAGTTAGTTATATCCGGCCCCATCGCGTTGTATATATGCGCGCCATTTAGTACAGCAAAATTATTATTTCTAGTCTTTGGCTAGGTGGCACCGTCAGAATAGCTGTACGGTATACGGTGGGTTGGCGAGTGGCGTAGGGTCAATTATTGGAAAGAGAAAAATCGATATCGGTGGAGCTTCCGATCGCTTCTTCTACTTTTTCGCCACTGATGGAGAGAGAGAAGGCTCCAAGTCGTTTGTTTTCATTGGAGTACAGTGAGTGATTCGTTTTCGCGTCTCAGTCTTTTTTCTTTTTTACTCGATTGACTGGTAATTGGTTGTTTTCAATTGGAAGTACCGATGAATTTTTATTAATCCACTCCACTTTTGGATTGACGCCCTCCTGCGTTATTCCGTTGGATTGATTCGAGTGAAAGCAGATTTAAGTGTTTTTTCCCTGCAAACATTACGTTACTCAGGTGCGCATGTAGCGTTTATTTAAGACTTAACCATCGGATTAAACACTTTTCTTTCTTTTTTTCAATTTCGTTATACATGGTGAAGCAACGGGTAGTGTTTTTAAAAGTTTTTCAATAAACACAAATTAATATGCAAGTCTATAGATGCCAGATATATCGTAGCTCGTCGCAATTGGATTTCATACAACATCTCTATACTGGAAACTTGTTTAAACATCATTTCACGTCAATGAATATCATGTAGGGATCTGATCTATATGGCAATAATAATTTGTGATAAAAAAAAAACAATAAATACTTTTGAGAAAATATAACTTTTTTTACAATTATAACTGATTCAATTACCTTTCGTAATTGGATGAGAAATCATTCAAAAATTCATCTACCCGAGAGCAGAAACTTTCTTGAGCTTCTACATATTCAGTGGATGTATCTCTACGATTTTAAACTCCACTTGAGCTGTATATTGTTTATCTTGTTTCAATGCAATCTCTCAAATTGTATGAAGGGTTTGTGTAATTTTAAAGTCATTGAAGAACCTTTATAAATTATACAGAGCATCCATGTGACATATGTTGCAAGAATCTGCCGACCTTTAAGAATCTCTCCTGGTATAATTTGACAATCAAACGTAACCATTGCATTGACTCGTCGAAACCAAAAAATCCTTTTTACCCCCCATTGTGGCATTCTTTGTGAAAGTCCTTAGAATCTCTTCATAAGATCTCCGCAGTAGTCACTAGTCTAACATTTTGAGGTTTTCAAAAGACGGTCACGTGCAGTTGCTACTGATGGTATACACGTCATGTAGAGATACAATTCGTGGCCGGCGTCGCATATCGTGACGATCAATAACGTAGTTTCGCTCGACTCGTCAACCTAGTTTTCAATCACCCACAAGCGTACAATGACATTTCTGTGGCTCGCTATTTTTTCTGTTACTATGCAACATTACATTTTGTCATACGGCACACCTGCTTAACACGTCTTTTTATCAGGTAGTGCTATTGATTGTATGCATACATCCTTTTTTATTTGCTCTAAAAGGATCAACGAATTTTTTAAAAGACCCAAGTTTAAATTTTTTTGATGCATTACAAGCTTCTATGTGCTATTAAGAAGTTAAAAGATTATTATAACAACTAATGGACATTTAATCCAATGATTGAGTTTGTGGTTGGATTAGAGTGTGCCGAGAGAGCTCGGGTAACAGGATTTCAAACTTACTTTTTTTTCCAAGTACCCATACACATATAGTCGAGTAGTGAAATCATCCCGCAACTTCTCGAGTGCCATTAAATTCAACAATCCTGTTATTTTCGTGATGTGACGTGATGGAAGTCTACTCTTGGTGATAAAATTTGCTCAGGGAACACGTGATGGTACTATCAATCCATTGTTACGGTGCAATAAAGATATTTCGCATAATCAAGAGGCATTGCACTTTTATCATTTTCACGTATGTAGAGCATTAAATTTAACAAGTGTGAATCATAAAGTGGACGAAATTAAGTAGTACATAGCGTTATTTTTGTTGTATCTGTCATTATTCAGAACATGAAAAAAGGAGGTTGGCAGCAAAAGTTTGTATCATACGAACGAATAAGTATACGCAGTATACTTAGTCCACAACACTGCAATCGGTATAAATAACTGCGCGTAACATCAAATAATAAAATCACAGTATTCATTAGCGCCATCCGTGGACCTGATAATCACCTATCACGGCAGCCTTTTTCAATCATCAGTGGCGCGCCTATACACGCAACCTCGAATTTCAGTCCAGATGAAAGTGGTGTCAATCCACGGGATGACCGCAACAACGACCACCCAAACCTAATAACGCGCGTACAAATTATCATATACCATCGCGCCTCGCGCAATTGAATGCCGTTTCCGAATCACAATGAAATTACAGGCTATACGGCCATTGTACAAGCTCATTCCTTGATTTTCGCGAGCTCCATCAGTCCGAACGATCGTGTCTCTATATATCTCTCTAATCAGCTGCACATTGTGTACTATCGCCATTGTATACGCCAACACTTGGGTGTACGGAATGTGACACGCGTACAAGTCGGGCCTGTCACTCGTACGAAATGGGCTAATGCCTACTTGCGTTGGTGATTGAATTTTCCTGTTTTCTCTCTACCTTCATTTACAGAAAATACACTTGGCCGTGCGAAATCGAAGAAGATAAGAAATTGCCTCATGTCAGGAGTTAAGTACACTTTGAGAGAAGTAATTCGATATTTTTTGGAGAATCGTCGATTCTGTGGTTATATGATCGTAGTGGTACAACACCATGCACCAGCGTATCAGTCGGAAGAATATGCTGTTAACGTCGAACACTGCCAAAATCAATCGTCACCGAAGTTGCTGTGTATAGAGTGTGGTGTACGTGGAAAATAATAATTGCCAATTCTATCT